TGCCCACGCATTTACTATGTCCTTATCTACTAATAAACCAACTTATTTTTCTTAGGCAAATCGTCACCCGAAATGGCGTGCAGCCATGGCCGAGGAGATCAATGCCCTACTCAAAAATAACATATAGGTCATTGTTCCTCATTCTCCTGCTCAACACAAGATCAGTTGTAAATGGGTTTATTGCATCAAGCGCAATGCTGATGGCACCATTGAACGTTATCAAGCCTGTTTGGTGGCCAAGGGCTTTCATCAACGGCCCAGGATTGATTTTGACGAAACGTTTAGTTCGGTGGTAAAACCTGCACCTATCTGTACTGTCTTAAGCATCGCGGTGTCTAAGGGCTGGCAACTTCATCAACTCGACGTCCAAAATGCATTCTTACATGGTTAGCTTCAGGATGAGGTTTACATGTCTTAGCCACCTGGCTTTATCCATCCTCAGTATCCTCACCATGTTTGTCGACTTGTGAAAGCCCTCTATGGCCTTAAACAGGCCCCTCGGGCCTGGTTTACAAGGTTTAGTTTCATTTTTATCTTATTATAGATTCGTTCAAAGTTGAGCCGATAATTCTCTTTTTATTCTCCACTGTGGTACTTATACTATAGTCCTCATTCTCTACATTGATGACATAGTTTTGACAGGCAGTCTTCCCACTTTTTTACAAGAATTTATCCAGGCCTTGGGTTTTGTTTTTTACTTAAAGGGCTTAGGTCCTTTACATTATTTTTTGGGTATTCAGGTACAGATAACCATTACTGTGATTCATCTTTCCCAAACCAAATATGCATTTGACCTCTTGAAGCGAGCAAACATGATTGAATGTAAGCCTTATTCTACTCCGATTGCTGCCAAAACTTCTCTATCAGCCCATGATAGTCCTTTGCTCTCCACAGCCACTAAGTTTCACACTCTCGTTGGTTGTCTCCAGTACCTGACCTTAACCCGGCCGGACATGTCATTCACCATCAACATTATCACCCAGTTTATGGCGTCTCCTCGCCAACCACACCTCCTGGCCGTTAAATGTATTTTATAATACATCATAGGCTCGTTAACTTATGGATTGTTGTTTCGTCCACAACCTATTCCCTCTTGCATTTCTACTTATTCAGATGTCGATTGGGCTGATTGTGTTGATACTTGTCACTCAACAATGGGCTATTTAATTTACAATGGCAATAATCTGGTGTCATGGTGTTCTAAAAAGCAACCAACGGTCTCAAAGTCCAGCACCGAGTCCGAGTATCGTGCTTTATCTCATACGTGTGCAGAAACTACGTGGCCCTCCTATTTGTTCCGTGAGTTAGGTATTGCTGCTCAGTTTCCTATTCACCTCTACTGTGACAATCTCAGCACCATTTACATGGTTGCAAACCTAGTGTTCATGCTTGGACTCGCCACATTGAGTTAGATTACCACTTTGTTCGTGAACATGTCGCTTTGGGCAATCATCAGGTCTGTTTTCTGCCTTCTGTCGACCAGCCTGTAGACTTTCACACCAAAGGCCTTCACAAGCCACGTCATTTTCTTCTTCGGTCCAAACTTGTTCATACTTTGACACCAAGTTTGTAGGGGCTGTTAAACAAGAGTCCAACATATGTTAAACTTACAATTGTATTTTGACGTTTGATGATAATATTCTTATCTCTTGTATCTAATATAGATGGAGACTTGAAATCCAAATAAGACTCTTGTACATCAATCTTATGTAACTATTTATACAGAGGAATGAAGCAATGAAAATCAATGCTTTCAGAAATATTTTCTCACCTTAAATTAGTTTTATACATGTTCATTCGCAATCTATCCAAATCTTGAATAACCAATTATTTCTACCAATTAGTTTGAGTCACTGCTATAGTGAGACCAATATATGTGTCCCACGTCTTGCATGCGTGGATGCCATGGGTTGGTTCTCTAGTTTGATTATATTCTAAAGCTACAATAACTAAAAAGGTTTAGCATAAAGATTCAAATGGATTATAATTCAAGCAAAGCCAGTCTATTATGCCTTGCCTTAAATTGGCAGTTTTGATTTTATATATATTTTTAGTGTAGCATCAAGAAAAGTAGAATCATGTGATAAAAGAAATAGAGAAAGAAACTAATGTTGTAACATATCATTTGACTTATACAACATATTTTATAAGCAACATAATATTGCATATACATTTCTTTACTAATTTTTCTCTTAGCAAACAATATATGCCTTCCGGGCATGCAGATTTAATATATATATATATGTGTGTGTGTGTGTGTGTGTGTGTGTGTGTGTGTGTGTGTGTGTGTGTGTGTGTGTGTGTGTGTGTGTGTGTAATATATAATATATCATGAATATACAACACTATGAGTCTAAGTTACATAATGGACTTGTAACAATTTATTGAACTTGCAATTCGTGAAGTCAAACTTAAGACAACCCATCCATCCACACACATCACCACCACCATTTACAAGTAAAAAAGAAATATCATTAGTTTGTAATACATAAAGAGATGATCAACATGGTGGTCAATAGATTTGGTACGTACAATAGTATCATTTTTTATAGTAGGCATCTCACTACACAGCCCTCCAGTAGCACATGAATGCAATAGTGTAATTTTGGTCCCGAGTCAAACAGTATGTCAAAGTGGAGTCAGCACAAATAATGAGTCCATTGAGAATCCAAACTTTTACTCGATTTTCACTAAACCAACCCCTTGGTGTTAAAACTTAAAATTAATAGCATCATTTTAAAATAAAAGATCAGTTGCATTATTATTGGGGTAAAATATATTAGAAACCAAAATCGCTGATTATTTATAAATTAAATGCCAGGCCATGTAGACTTGAAGAGGGCACAGTATCACCTTCTAGAAGGTCTGGAACTGCAATTGAGTTAGCTACTAATTATTTGTCTAACACTTCTAATTAAGAGCGCGGTGATGAGGCAGTCTAAACGCTTCTAAAAAAGAATGAGGATCCTCTCCGGATCTTTGTGAAGATTCTGAGGATCCTCAAATCATGTCCGTTCATCGTACATCGTGTGGTCAAAAATCATTTTAAATACTTTTATTTAAAATTAAATATAAATAGTACCTGACGAAAATTGACTACACAATATACGATAAGCGGTCACGATTTGAGGATTCCCAGGATCAGTGGCAAAGCCAGGTGAGGGCGAGGAGTGGCGGCTGCCACTCCCCTCACCGGAAAACACAGCCCCAGCGCAGTTTCAGCCCTTCCCCTCCCAGAAAACCCAGCCCCTCCGCTCCTTGTTTGTTCTATGGTGAACTGGTTTTGCTGCACAGTGGGAAAGTGTATTCTTTTTATTTTTTATTTTTTTTATTTTTTATTTTATAAAAAAATTCAGGCTAAAACGGCATCGTTTCGTCTGTTTGAAAAAAAAAAAAAAATTATACGGTGGGGGGGACCGCGTGTCCCGCATTCGACCTCTCTTTACTCTCTCAGCCAATTACAGACAGAGAGCAGCAAAGCTGCCCCCCAAAATCCCAACAGGCAATGGAATGGAACGGAGCCACTGAGCCGTTTCCTCTCACTGTCTCACAGTCTTACTGCAACCGTTTCCTCTCACTCTCACAGTCTCACTCCAGGCTCCAGCCACTGATTCGCTGGCTTCCACCAGGCTAGCCTTCACACTTCAATTTAAAGGTAAATTTATAATCCCTACCTAACCCTAAATAATTATTTAATACGAATTTTATTTAATTGGTAATTTGGTATAGAAATAGAATCATATTAATATGGTAATGCACTAAGTTGGTTATTGGTTGTTAATTATTGATATGATATTATGAAATTAATTTTTAAGGTGAAAATTAAAATTAAAATTCTTGATTATTTATTAACTAATTGAATTATTACATAATGTATACAATTATTCATATGATTAATTGAATTGAATTTGTATTTATTGAATAATTTGTATGCTAATTGGTATTGATTAATTGAATCGTCGGTTGGATTATTTATGATGCATATTAGTATAGTTTACTCTAGGATTAAGAGTTTAAGAATTTTTTTTTTCTTTCCATTTTACAGTTACGTAATGGAACGATACTATAAGAAACAATGCTTAAATCCTCCTTCAAATATTCCAAGTAGTCCTATTTCGAATATTCCGAGTAAGTTACACATCCTCCTTCAAATATTCCAAGAAGTCCTCTTTCGAATATTCCGAGTAAGTTACAACAAAGTGAGGCGACTGAGTTGGATAAAATATTAGCTAATCTTCCTGCAGAATCTGCACATAGACGTCGAATGCTTGATTATCCACCTAATTATCGTGACGCAATTCAGAGACACTATCTCCAAAATGATCCTTGTCAACCTAGAGACCACATCATGCAAAGAAAAGTTAGCAACAATCAATGTTTTATCATCGGTTGGTTTGATAAGTTTAAGTGGTTGGAGTATAGTATATGCATTTTGTCGTTATTGTTATCTTTTCAAATGTGATTTTGATCAAATAGGTAGCACTAGAAGTGATGTCTTCACTGAGATAGGGTTTACAAATTGGAAGAAAGGACCCGAAAATCTTCAAGTCCATGAGGAAGGTGTTGGAAGTCTTCATAATCAAGTTGTACAGCAAGCTAGAGATTTGATGACACAAAAACAACACATTGAAACATTTGTGATTAAGCAAACCGATGAAGCTCGCATTAATTATCGTACTTTATTGAGTGCCTCACTTGAATGCACAAGATGGTTGTTGGGACAAGGTTTGCCTTTTCGTGGCCATGATAAATCGTGGAAATCAAGTAATAGGGGTAATTATTTGGAGCTTATGCAATTTCTTTCCAAGCATAATGAACAAGTTAGGAAGGTTGTGTTTGAGAATGCTCCTAAGAATCTTAAGTATACTTCTTTCAATATTCAAAAAGATCTTGTTCGTGCTTGTGCCATTGAAACTGTAGATGCAATCACTAAAGATATGGAAGGTGCATTTTTTTCTCTTTTTGTTGATGGAGCACGTCATTCTTCAACTAAAGAGTAAATGGCGGTGGTATTGTGTTATGTGAACAAAAAAGGAGAAGCAATTGAAAAGTTTTTGGCTGTTCAACATGTCTCCTCTACAACTAGTAGCTCACTTGAAGAGGCCATTGAGAGATTGTTTGCTACAACAAATTTGAGTATGTCCAAGTTACGAGGACAAGGCTATGATGGAGCTAGCAATATGAAAGGTGAGTTAAATGGTCTTAAAACAAAGATTTTGAACAAATACCCTCAAGCATTTTATATTCATTGTTTTTCACACCAACTCCAACTAGCTCTTGTATTCGTGGCAAAGGAAAATGAGGATGTTGCCAATTTCTTCATCAATGCTAGTAGTTTGGTGAATCTTATTGGATCATCGTGTAAGCGTCGTGATGCATTTAGAGAGAAACAATAAGAACAAATTCAGAAAGCTCTTGATCTTGGTAATATTGAAACGGGTAAAGGTTTAAATCAAGAAAGTAGTCTCATGCGTCCATGTGATACACGGTGGAACTCGCATTATGGTACTATAGTTAGTATTATTGTTATGTTTAAAGCTATGGTGGAGGTGGTTGAATGGGTTAAAAGTGATCGCAACCAAGATAATCTCGGTGAAGCAGCTAGGTTATTCAAAGACATACAAACTTTTGATTTTGCATTTCACCTTTTCTTGATGAGACTTATATTGGGAATTACAAATGAGTTATCACAAGCATTGCAAACGAAAGATCAAGATATTGTGAATGCGGTGGCGTTAGTGGAAGTTTGCAAGCAAATACTACAATCCTTGAGAGATGATGACTTTGGGGACTTGCTTCATGATGTAGAAAAGTTTTGTGAGAAGCATGATATTGTCGTTCCTAACATGGAGGATTTGCATTTCGTACCTGGAAAATCAAGGAGTAAAGCTCCAAAAATCACAAACTTATCGTGTGGACCTCTATTTTCAAGTCCTTGATATGCAACTAAAGGAATTGAATGATCGCTGCAATGAGGTAAACACCGAGTTGCTTCTTTGCTTAGCCCATCTTTATCCTCAAGATTTTGATCGTATGGACCTAATGAATCTTCTAATTCAACTTGACAATTACATTCATGATATGAAGATGCATAGTGAGTTTTCATCATTGAAAGGAATTAGTGATCTTGCAAAAGAATTAGTGAAGACCGGAAGGTGTGAAAGCTATATGTTGGTGTATAAGCTTTTTACATTAGCTTTGGTGTTACCAGTTGCAGCCGCTTCGATGGAGAGAGCTTTTTCTGCTACGAAGATTGTGAAAACACCATTGCGTAACAAAATGGAGATCAATAGTTGAGTGATAGCATGGTTGTTTACATTGAGAAAGATGTATTTGCCTTTATTGATAATGAGCCTATTATGCAACGTCTTCATGACATGAAACTTTGCAGGCGACAATTGTAATTTGTTTGTATTGATTAATTATGAAAAACATTACTATATAAAAAGATTTAGTTGTTACCATTTTTCTTTAACCTTGCATTCTTTTAAGTTCGCCCCTCCCCCCGAGAAATCCTGGCTTCGCCACTGCCTAGTATCCTCACAAAGAGAATCTGGAAATGATCCTTTTGGTCTCAAAAATTCATTGGCAAAGGATGAAAACCTATATGAAATGGTTCATGATTGGATAATTGACCCCAAAAAAAGGTTCACAAGTGGAACCACTATATTAGGTTTTTTTTTCCTCACGCATAAACAAATCAAGGGTTTTTATACTAGCCAATAGAATTCAACTTTTCTTCATTCAGTCGAGTTCGTTAGTGCCATTTCACAACTTTGCATATGATTATAATTAAGTAGTTAGACTACTAATTATATCAAAAGTGGAACTTTATATGGATTCTTCGCCATCTCATGTTTTTGGCACATTGTTTTACAATGTTGGCATAAGAATTGTGCCAAAAAATGAGGTGACGGTGACACACCCCGACCGAGATCAGGGCGTGCTGGCCGTCACCCGAAGGTGACGTAACCATGTGCGCGTGCGGAAGCTAATAAGAAGGTAATATAAAAGTACGAATAAATAAAAACCTAATAGCATACAAAGTACTAGTGTATGTGAGACACAATTCAGAGCAAGTCTACAACAGTCCAAAAGGAAAAGATACGACATATGTACACCCGAAGGTGACCCTACAATGGTGAATGTCTGTCAGAAATGCCGGGACGCCCTCTGGGATAAACCACCGAACTTGCTAGACCACTAGAACCTGGAGGGGCGCAAAAACAAAAGCGTGAGTGGGCAAAAACAAAGTTCTTTGAAAACTCTTTAGCAAAATACATTCTAACCCCTCGCCGTAAAACCTGTATACTTCCCAGAAAATGAACATATATACGTATGTATAGATATGTCAATCATGCTCCATGATATGCCATTCATGCTCACATTATGCCACAACAGAATCTCATAATCAAATATAAATGCCCAAGCGTAAATCACATCAATAACATATAATCTGGCAGCCGGGAGTCACCTAACGTGACATGTACCGCTGCATATAGAGCTCTAATCTCAACTCAACATCTGAATCTGCACACAAGTCGGAGCCACCTAACGTGGTCTGTACGACAAGACTGGGTGTAATATATATACGCTCTAGTGCTACGATCACGTGAAGACTATGCGAAGAATCGCGGTCACCTACGAGTCGGAACCACCTAATGTGGTCTGCACGACAAGGCTTGCACCTAACTTGGATCCAAGGCGAGCGTGTGGTGCTGGTGAACATACACGTGAAGGACTCTGCCCCTCTCTGGGCGGGAGCACTAACACCGGGGGTGCAGATATGAGCTCTCTAAACATCTCAAACTACTATTGCATAATAAACAGGAATGCATAACCACCTGAATACCGCTTACCTGGCACTTACCTGTGCATCCACCGCACCAAATACACATGTATATATGTATGTATATCACCAATAATACATGCAATGATGCGTAAACAACATTCATATAATGCATGGCATAAAACAAATAACATTTTCTATTTAATTTCTGGGAATATAACTGTATATAGGTATATACGGAAAACAAAAGCCCACTCACTGATAATTAGAAGGGTCGTAGCCCCCCTGCCTCGAATGTGTACGCTCGTCTTCGGAAAACGAATCACCTATACGCGACAAAGTTACGAAAACATTAATTTAAAAGCACCTAAGCAACTTCTCGTAATAACTTCTCATACATTGCTCAAAATGGACAATTGAATATACCAATGTGATCTACACAACCTCAGGATCACACCCATATTTTTAAAATAATTTTTGGACCACGCACGCGCCCCCACGCGCCTGACCACGCACGGACCTACGCGCCCCCACGCGCGGCCCACGTGCACTGCACACTGACGGCGTCAGTTGACGCCGTCAGGAATATTCCGTCAACTAACGGAATATTCCGTCAAATCTAACTAGATTCCGTCCACTGCCGTTAGGAATATTCCGTTAGACTTAACGGAATATTCCCCTGTCTTCTCCGGCGAGCCTTCGCCGGCGCCGTCGCCGGCGCCGGTGGCCGGAAAACTGGGAAATTTTCAAACCTTGTTTTCTCCTTCGTTTTTCAACCAAATTTCACGTTCTTTATACCAAAATGAAGCTTAGGACTAGTAGAACAACGTTAGACTAGTTTTAAGGCCTAAAAATTAAAGAATCTCACCTGCAACAACGATCCAAGTTCGGCCAACTTCGAACCTAGCCTTCCCAACGTCCAAATTCACCCAACGAACCACTCCGAGGCTCCTTGGGACCTCACAAACACATCTACAAGCTTAGAATCTCCTAAAACAAGCTAGATTAGGTTTGCATGAACAGTGCAATAATTCGGCCATTGTTGAAACGACGTGAAAACAACGATATCCTTACCTGAAAATGGCACCCTTGAACTCCTCTCAGCTCCACGAACACGATGGTGGTCTTGGTTTCTTGTTTGGTGAAGATTTGATTAGGTTTGTAAGTGTGTCCGTGTGTAGAGGAAGAAGAAGAAGAAGGTGAACTCGGGGAGGAAGAGAGAGAGAGAGAGAGACTGAGAGAAGAGAGAAGAGAGAAGAGAGAAGAGACAGAGTGAGGGAATGAGGGAGGGAATCCCGGAAAGTTAAAGTGTGTGTGTGTGGGTGTAATCCAATACATTCCACACCACACCAACAACTAATAACGTGACAAAAACGATCTAGGGGTAAAATCGTAAATTCAATGTACGTTTCTATAAATCCCGGGACGGGATGTTACAGACGGAGAATTCATAGAGAGTCCTACTTTTTAGAGTCTTTTATTGTGAAACATTAACTATCTTCTCTTTACTTCGAAACACACAATTAGTTTTTAATTTTTTAATTTTTAATTTTTTTTAATCAGATAAACACACAATTAGTTGTGTACTAATAATGTTACTCCATTTCAAAGTTTTGTGTCGATTTGGAAAAGATGAGTTATATATGCGGAAGCTATGAAGCACGGATACTTTAGTTTGATCGCGTATTTCGTATCCGATATACTTGATTTGATACGATATTTGCCCTTAGTCTCGGATACTCCTTGTAAGATACATTTACATTTCAAAAAAAAGCAATTGGGAAGAGCTATATTGAAAGTTGATGAATAGAAAAGGTTTGCCTCAGTTTAAAACCATGAATACGACTCTCACAATGTTTTCCTACTGTATATAAAGAGGATTCAATTTCTAACCTTTCTTCTCTAAGAAATCATAAGAACATGAATGTGAATGATGAATTACGTTTTAAATTATATATTTTTATCACTATATATATATATTTTTTATTTGTTGTATACATGCCCTATCATATTCTAGTTTTTAGAAATTTTCAATATCGTCGTGTCGTATTGTATCGTATCATTGTATTTGTATCCGTATCCAAACTTCTTAGTGAGAAAAAAAAAATGAATTTGAGCATGACCGCCTCAGATAATTGAGGTGCTGCTGTATGGATTGATAATTGTACCTAGGGCTGATGAAAAACAACCAGCTCAGTAGTGGATCTCCTATCATTGGGATCCCTTGCCCAATCATCATCACTAAATGCTTGTAAATCCAATCCTCCTTTGGTAAAATGAAGTCCACAGCCTTTCGTAGCTTTGAGATATCACATAATTCGTTTAACGGCCATAAAGTAAGCTTCCATAGGACACTGCATGAACTGACAGACCTGATGCATAGCGAATACAATATCAGGTCGAGTCAACATGAGGTACTGAAGTGCTCCTACAAGGCTTCTATATAATGCTGGATTATTGTAAGGCCTCGCATCATCTTTCAACAATTGATTATAAGGTAGACAAGGAGTAGCACACGATTTAGACATCTCCATTCCAGACTTAAGGAGCAAATCACTAACATATTTGTCTTGAGAGAAAAATAAGCCATCCTTCTGATGAACAACCTGAATACCATGGAAGTAGTGCAACGGCCCGAGGTCTTTGATATCGAACTTTTGAGTAAGAGCATGTATAACATCGGATATTGCTTGAGATGCACTACCTATGATGATAATGTCATCCATATATAAGAAGAGAATCACAACTGTACCATTCATAGATTTAACAAATAAAGAAGAATCACAATAGGTAGATTGAAAGCCTAAAGATGGAAAAAAACTATTAAATCTGTCATTCTAGGCTCTTGGGGCTTGCTTGAGACCATAAAGAGACTTGTGTAACTTGCAAACATAGTCACTGTGAGTAGGGTCCAAAAAACCAAGAGGTTGAGCCATACAGACCTCCTCTTGTAACATACCATGCAGAAAAGCATTTTCACATCAAGTTGTCTAATATTCCAATTAAAGTGAGCAGCCAAAGCAAGTGCTAACCTCACAATGGTTGGCTTAACCATATGACTAAACGTCTGGCCATAGTTTATACCTTCTTCTTGATTGAAGCTTTTTGCAACCAAGCAAGCCTTATAACTCTCTATAGAACCATCTGCATTCTTTTTAATCTTGAACACCCACTTGCAGCCTACCAAGTTTCTATGAGGAGGAAGAAAAACAAGAGACCAGGTTCCTTGATTTTTAAGAGCACTCAATTCATCTTGCATCACAGCCAACCATACTGGAGATTTTAATGCTAATTTGTATGTTGCAGGTTTAACCTCAGTAAGATCAACACCACCATGTTCATGCACAGAAGCTAGTAAAGCAACCTTTTTAGAAATGCCACTCTTGGACTGAGTCTGCATAGGATGAAGATTCAATGTTGGCATAGACAAAACCACATGTAGTTGTTCTCCTTGAAATTCAGGAACCACAGAAAGTGAAGGGGAGGATTGCTGTGCAGTGCCAATAAT